ACACATAGATCCATAAACCTTAAAATAAACAAATAAAACAATCCCTTTAGGACCTATTTAAACTAGCTTTTGTTTTGACGATGTTTGTTTTTTTATGACTTTAAGTTTCTGCTGCTTGTAAGGTTTGCTGGCGGCGGCAGCAGTGAAGCCTTTTCAACAGCTTTTTTTTTACCAGCCTAATTAAACTTTCCAACCTCTAATATAAAGACAGGCGAAAAAAAAAACGCCAGATGTGCATTTGCAGATGTCTCCCTGTACCTTTTAAGGAAAAGCTGGGACTCGCTCTCACAGCATGCCCACCCTTCGCCGCCCGAGATGTTTTTGATTCATTCTCATAATAACGTGAAAAACTTCCTCTCTTCAGGGAGACTTTTCTTAATGAATTCTGTGAAGGAGAATAATGGCTGCCTGAGATGAGATGAAGAAACATCTGACCTGCGGTGTTAATAATCAGACTAAGTAATGGCAAAGCATGAGGGAGGCTCCGTCTGTCTGCGCTGTTTGCAAGGTGTTTTGCAAGGCCATATAGGTGTGCAGGAAAAAAAAACAGCTCCCTGAAAGCATCAGAGCCGTTGAATCAAAGGCAAAGAGAAGGCCGAGAGCAGGTAGAGCAGCTCCTCTGACTCAGTCCAGCTTTTTATGGCGGTTTGAAACACCTCGGAGGCCACGAAAAGCAGGAAAACGATTTAAATAAGTCTCACAGCAGCTGCAATCTCAGCTCGCTTCTAGTATTTTTTCTTTTTATATATAAATCCTGTTTGCTCATACACAAAGTTGATCCTTAACATGCGACTCAGCTCATCAAAACAACATTTAGTTGTTTTAAGTATCAGATTTGACTGTTTTCATTAAAACGCGGTGCGTATGTTTTATTTGCGTTTGTATTTTTACGCACAATATACCTCCCCAAAAAATAATGAAGCTGACTAACAAAACCTGCCAATCTTTTCTTTCTCAGGTTTCTAAATTATTCAAAGTCTCGGTGATGCTATTCCGCTTTGTTTCAGGTTGGTTAGGACGGATTTGAATAAAGGGAAGTCATCGTTTCCATACGAGGCTTTGGATGCAAACGCACCAGACTTCTAAAAGACTGTTATTCCTTGAGAAAAATACTACAGGCTGTAGCATTTTCTTACATGATTTTTTGATTTAATCTTTTTGAAGCTTTTGTTTTATTTTAAAGCTAAAATCTAATGAATTGGAAATTCGTATTCTTTTTTATTTACAGATTTTAGCCGCAAAATCATTTGAACAAAAACTGTTTAATCAGTTTAGGCCTGAGGAAAATCAACGTTATGGAGAGAACTATATTGTTACTTGTAAAAGAGCATAAAGTTGCATTATTACCTGGCAAATAAAAAAATTAAATTAACATTCTCTTTGTGAGAATTTTCTACGAAATTTTTGTTTATGACAACTTGATTTCGAGACGTAACTTGTTTTTTCCCCCCTCTATTTGAGCTTACACTCAAAACGCAAAAAGAATATTACGTTTCATGTAATATCCTTATTATATTTTATTTTTAATTTTTGTTTACCTTACTGTGTCCTTTTCAAATCCTTTTTGCGCCTCAGATCTTGTATTTGCGAGCGCGTAGACTTCGCAAAATCCCGGTTGTGCACTTAAATTACAATTATCCCGCTCCCGGATTGTCTCTTTGTATGTGTGCGAGAGTTTAGTGTGTGTGTCTGTGTGTGTGTGTGTGTGTGTGCACTTCTACCACAGGGTTATATTACCAATAAAGTTTAGTGCAGTCAACTTTATTGGGGTGTAAAGACACGGCTCATGTGGGCCTGCAGCAGCTTTTGTGTCAGAGCGCAGCAGTTCCGTTTGGAGATCATGGCCTCCTCGAGGACGCAGCCAACATCATGTGACAAATGTGCTCAATATGTGAGTAGAGATGTAATCATACAGAATGTTTTTGATCTCATTGTCTAGATGTCTAGAGATTTTTCTTCAAAGGAAAAGCTAAATGTTTTTACACGAGCGTATCTGAACCTGCGTTGAAGGAAACTATTTTTGGCTTTTTGAAAGTTCATGTGCGTTTACGCAGGATTTTAGATTTGCTAAATGTTGTTTAAATTTGGCTGCTTTTAATTAAAAAAAAAACTCGTACTTATATATTCCATAAATGTGTGTGTGTGTGTGTGTGTGTGTGTGTGTGTGTGTGTGTGTGTGTG